GGCTGCCCTTGCCCTGGCAGGGCACAAGTGCACTGAGCGGGCTGGTCTCAGCTTGCCATCTAGTGGAGGGCGCCCGCACGGCGTCCCCATGCCTGCCCTGCTCCATTTTGTGCCGTCCCCACGCTTGCAGCACTGGAGGATGTTTGAAGAAAGGAGCCCAGTGACACCGAATGCCCAAGCACTGACCACACCACCTGGCCACCAGGCTTCCTGGGGCACTGGGGGGGCACAGCCACCAGGACGCGGTCAGAAGCCCCATAGGGTGCTGCAGAAAGGATAACAAGTCCTTCATGATGCCCCAATGTGTCTGCTCAGCCAGTACTGCCCCTGACTGCAAGCCCGCAGCACCCGGCAGCATCAGACCCCCCCTGAGGGAAGGCTGTGGGGGCTCACAGCTCAGACGTACCAACCCCACCCGCACCTTATTTCATTAGGCTACAAAGCTACAGGCACATCACAAACTCCAGGCGATGACCTACAGATGGGAGACGGGTTTCAACTGAAGGTTAAAGTGTTTGGCCTGGGCTCACATGGAGGAAGAGAAACTCAGGACAAGACATATGAAGTATGGTGCTGCAGTGGTCACCAGGAATTGGGCAGAGGGTACTCCTTACCCGAGCAAAGGATTGGCACATCTACACGAAAGAGAGCTATTGGCAAAGGGCTGCTAGTGTCCACAGACCTTCGGCACCTAGGGAAGGCCTTAAGAGAGTTTCAGTGTCTCTGCAATATCTCAAATGTCATTTAAGAGAGCCTTTGTGGATCTTGCCCTCCGGGCTTTCATTAATTCAGCAGTAACCACTTCTGAACTTCCTGAGTTCCCAGCGCTGACAAACAGCATCGCAACTCCAGCCGGGCCCAGCCCCTGTTTGGGAACATGAACACGGCGTCTCAGCACCCAGCAGAAAACACAGACACCACAACTACTGCTCGACGTGTCCCCACGGCTCAGCAGCTCCACGCAGCCCCACGACCACGCAGCCCGGTGTCCTCACACACAGCAGCAGCCAGGCCTGCACCTGGGAGAGCGGGGGACCAGGAGATGGTTTGTGGACCCCAGAGCAGTGAGGTCCAGGAACAGCTTTCCAGAATGGGAGCAAAACCCTTGTTTGCTTTCTGGAGGATGGAGACTCGTGGCACAAGGACTGAGTCAAGTGAGTGCCACTGCAATGGGTCCAACTTCGGGCAGGTCCCAGGACCAAACCCAGCAGCCTCAGCAGTGCTGCCTTGCTGAGTTACCAGCCTTCAGCCTCCCACAGCACGAAAGGGATTTGTTCTCTGTCTGCCTTAGCAAATGTGCAGAACACATAAAGGAACTGAAGGTAAGGGGAGCAGAGAAGGAAAGGAGAAAGCCCTGTTTGCGTGTCTCCATTGCTCACCAACTCCCTGTGAGGGCACGAGACCCGAGCTGGAACCAGCTGCCGGTCCCCAGCTGATGGTGCCCTTGGCTTTACAGCACAAACAAAACCAACTCCTAGGTGAAATGCTAGCTGCATTTTTATGCACTTGTATTGCTTCAAAGAACCAAAAGCAAAACAAAACAAATCAAGCAAAGGGCAGCACGATGCAAGCAGCAGAACAGCACTGCTCAGATCCCATGCACGTCTTATTTCCTCTGCCAGGATCACAGGATGTTGCATTTGCCTTTTAACGCTATCTTTTCCACTCACCACACAAGGCTCTGGACAATGTATTAATCCAGCTCAAGAGGGACGTAATTTAACATGTTTCATATCCTCAATCCTCTGCTTACCCTTACATTGCTAGGCTGACTTTCCTGAAGAAATATTTGTGTGTCCCAAACGCTTCCAAAACCAGTACCCCACTTCTGCCTGCATGGACGTGAGAATGATTTCTAAGATTACGAACCTGCTTGGAAGGTAATAGCAGGAACTGCTGACACCAGCATCAATTTTGGCTGGCATGCTCACTGCAGACTTGGCAAGCAGAGCCACAACCTTAGTAAAATGCTTATCTTGTTCGGTTCTTTGACAGAAAGCAAACAGCCTAATTTGCGTCTCTGTTAATCCTACAGCCTACCACAGCCACCAGTATGAGCCAACACAGCTTTTATTCTTGACTCAGTCCCCAGTCAAGTTTCAGAATCACTCTGGCCTACACCATATTCATTCGCAAACTGCATCACCAAAGGAAAAAAAAAACACATAGGAAACTCATCCTGAATATCTTAATGAAAATGGATGCAATTGCTTTGTTACGTAGTTAACATTTTCTCCTATTTCCAGCCTCCGTAACATAAAAGAAAACCCAAAGTCAACACAGGGTTTTCAGCCAAATTAATTGCAAGTGGTAAGAGTTAACAGACTGATGATAGCTATCTGGAGTCTGCTCTGACTGTAAGATATATAATAAATCTTTTCAAGTTGTGACAAATGTCTTGGCTAATGTAGCCCACATTCTATGTTGAGATTTTACTAAAATGTAATACAACATTTGGTTTTAGTTTTTTAATTATAATTAAGAAACAAACTCCACTGCACTTTAATCTCTCCACAGCCCGAATTTGCACATGGAATTACCGTCTCCGCCGTGCCAATCTTTCCCACACTCAATATTCAAATCAAAGGAAACCAGACATTCTTTCCAGTAGGGGTGTTTTTGGTTACAAAATTATAGTCAAAGCATAGAATGGATGCTTCTAGGAGTCCAAACATTAAACCCTTGTCTCTTGCTCAAGGAAATCTCCGCAGAGTAGGTAACATCCCACACCCTCACGCCGCAAGATAAGAACTCAAACAAAACAGACCAACAGCTCCACTTGTGAGAGATCAAAAGAGGATAACTGAGGATGAGGAGCTGCCTTGTCTGTCAACACACGCTGCCTCCATCAGTGAAATGCCTCTTGCATTCCATCTCCAGAGAGGTTCATTCCCATGGCTCCCACGCCACACCTGGCAGGCCGGGTTTAAGCGCCACGAGCACTGAAGCGCCACGAGGTATTGCATTAAGGCGCAGCGCTAATGAGCAGCAACACTGCCTGACGTGCTGGATGAGCAAGCTGCTCGAAGCTGATGGGCACGATAGGGAAGAATAGAAATGTGCAGGTGGCAGCATGAAGACCTCTGTTTTTTGAATGAGTTCACGTAATCAGATTCTGGAACAGGATCATCCAGGCAGTGCTGCATCTGTTACTCCACGGCCCCTTTCGCATGCATAGCGCCCTACAAACGCTCAAAATCTCTGGCTGCACTTCTGGAACCCTATCCTACCAGACCGGCTCCACTATTGTGCCAAACCCTGATAGCATCAGCAGGTCACAATGCAACTGGATGACTGTATTCGTGCAGCTCCAGCTGGAGGTGGCCGAGTTTCACATCCCTGCAACTGCATTCTGCAGCGGAGGTGAGGCAGAGGGAAGTAGGTGAGCAGGCTAAAAGAGGACAAGGCTTGATGCCAATTATGAGCAATTATGCACATTTAGTTAGTGAAAGAACAGAAAATATTATCCTGCCTCTGGATGCCTGCCACCACAGATCCCAGGTAGGGGTTAATTTAGGAGGGGACAAGACAGTTTGCATGCTGGAGCTGGAGGGGCTGGTGTGCCTTACACAGGGCTGAGTGCCTTCCCCCTGCAGCTGCCACAGGACAGGGACGCTCGAGTTAATAGCCAAGGTGGAGCAGGCTGGCTCTCCCAGGCAAGGCTGAGTGATAGAAAAAGACAGCAGGGGTTGTCCTGGGCACGCACTGCATGTTCTGTCTCCTTTTTGCTTCTGTGCCTGTGTCTCCCACAATACCGGTTCTTGGAAGAAGGTGTACATGTGCAATTTTGTCCTAGAAATGTTGTTTCACCCCAGGGAGTGGCAGAGAGGTGTGATCACCATCAGCAGTAGGTCCAAGCTCCACAGCACATGCCCTGTTAGGAAGCGAGGTCTGTGCAGCGTGGAGAGGGGGCTAGCCAGCTTCATGGGGACCCGACAGCAGCCACCTTACGAGGAAGGCATCAGAAGGACAGAGACAGGCTCCCCGAGGCAGTGCAGGGCAGAACAGACAGGAGGTGTAAACTCAAACCACAGACAAGGCATCAGGAGGAACTCTCCTCCAGGGGGATGGCCAGGCAGCAGAGCTGGAGCCCCGCAGAGCTGTGCCAAAGGTCTCCTTCCTCGGGAGTTTTCAGCTCCCCGCTGGATAATGCCCCGAGTAATCTGCTTAGAGCAGGAGGCTGGACCAGACACCTCCCAAGGTCTCATCCCATCCCGAATTACCCAATGAGTCCCCGATTCCAAGCTAAGGCCTGACCGTCATCCTCACCAGAACGCACCGCTGGGGACAGCCGGCAGCACCCTCAGACCCAGCCGACTGTCTGAGTCCCTGCAGGTGTGTCAAAGCAAGCCCGGCACACTCCTGCCAGCCCATGTGTGTCCACGTGGGCTTAACGAACACGTCTTTGTGACAAACCAAGGACCTTGCCGTGGGTGGCAGGGAGGCTCTGGCTCAAGGCAGCAGCAGTCTGTGGCCGTGGGGCTGTGCTGGAATCTATCCCAGCGATGAGGCAGCCCGCACAGCTTCGGCATGGCAGAAGCAAGCACAGCGAGGACGGTATCGCAGAGAGCTGGGAACGGGCTCCACTCCTCCTCTCGCACTAAATCTGCAGTTCTCTGCAAGGCCCAGCAACGCCTGCCAGATGAGTTGCAGGACTCAAAAATCCCTGGAAATCTACAGCGTATTTTCTTCCACTGCTCTTTTTGCCATGTTTTCCTTTCAGCACAGCACAGCAGCGTGTTTGTGCTGGCCAAGCCTACCCTCCTCCCTTCCACCACACCTTCAAGCAATCCAAGCACAGGAGATACAGTATTACCTCAAATATTTAACCAAAGGATTAAACTATTCTCTTGGCAGGAGGCGTGCGCTGCCCCACGGATACAGCTCTCGCGCCGGCTGGCAGGCGCTGCGTGACTGCGAGCTCTGCAGCGAGCTGCCCCGGGCTACACAACGCTCTCCGTGCTCTTCTCCAGTGCTTTCTCTCTAATATTTGTGCTCACCGGCTCCCGGCCATCCATTGCCTCCATCCAAAGCCTTCGGTCCTCTTCCGAAAGCGCCTGCATGGTGATCACGCCAGGCCTGCGGAGAGAAAGGGAACACCGTGAGTAAGCTGCAGGATGGAAAATGAAGATGACAGAGATAAATTTTCCATGCGAGGGAGAGGGAAAGATGATGATGTTCCTCACCGAGCCCCTGCAGCACGGAGCTGATGCCAGCCTTACCCCTGCAGGGAAGTCCCTGCAGGTCCTAAGCAGGACCAAGAACGGCGCAGAAGGCATCTCCAGCAATCAGCACACATTTTCAATGCTTTTAGAGCATAACAGCCACTCCAGTGACGCTAGACAATTTTGCATTTGATTTTCCCCCAGAGAGATCACCTGCACTGGAGCTAAGCACATCCACATAATGGCCAAGGTGAGGAAGGCAACCGAGCACGCAGGATGCCCCCACACCCCACGTCCCACCATCACCTAAGCACAGGCTCCAGGGGGACCTTCCGCTGCATGAGGAATTTCAACACTTTTATCCCCAAAATGCTTGTGTGGTGTGACCATCTCACATCCCTGACCCTGCCAGTGCTCCCACACTGCCGGTTCCTCTGCTCCCTCCCAAGCTCTTTTCAGAGCCATTAGCCCAGCACGGCTGCTGCTTCTGCAGGAGGAGCACGGACAGGAGCCCTGGCAACAGGGTGGATGCAGACATGGCCAGCACAACTGGGAGCAGCTATCGGGGCCGACCCCACAGCAGCACTTGTGAGGTTTCATCCATGGGAAGTGCTGCAGCACCGAGCTGCTGGGGCCGCAGTCTCCATCCCCGCAAGGCGCAGCCGCCCCGGCCACGCAGCAGGGAGATGGCCAGACCACGGGGGTCAGCCACCGAGCTGCCGACCACTAAATCCCCAAAAAATGGTAAGGCCTGGGAAGAGGGGGTATTTCCAACCTGCGCTTTCCAAAAGCGATTCAGCAGGAGGATGAGAGCAGCAGGACCGCTCTGCGACAGCCGTTCAGCCCTTGATAAGAGCTGATCCTCCGTCAGAAGAGACAGCACTAACAGGGGCTGCCATAGTGCTGGTTTTGGCCCCATTTCTACTGCTTCTAGCAGTCCGTATGGGAAAGGAGCAAAGAGTTAACGCTCCTCCCTCGCTGTGCCCCCTGACCGACCAGGCAGCTCGCTCGTGGCACCCCAAGGCAGCTAGCACGGGGTCCCCAGCAGCAGCAGAGTGCTCAGGCTTGCATCAAGCCCAGGTCCAAGTAAACCAGCCATAATGTATTTGATCTCCGCTAATCCCATTGGTGAGTCAGTCAATACTCACCAGCTTAGTGGTTTGGAAGTTTACTCATTCTGAAGGGAAGAGGAAACCACTTAACCATCGCCCCGTTTGAGGAAGAAAGCGTTCAGCATCCAGCGCCGAGTGTTTTCGGGACGGGGAGCAGAGCTCCTCGCCGTGCACACCCGGGGCGGCGCAGAGCAGCCGGAGGTGCCCACGGAGGTGCAGCGGTGCTGGCCACGGGCTGAGAGCAGCTCCTCTCAGAGCAGCTCCTCCATGGCAAGAGGCCGAGGCCGGGGCCACCGGGGGCTCAGCTGCACCCCCGGACAAAGCCCAGGCCTGAGCTGGAGGCAGGCTGCTGGGCGCTGCTGCAGGGGGCACCGACAGCCCCGGCAGAAAGCCCTGGCCGGGCTCTAGCTGAGACTTGGGCAAAGGAAATACGGGGATTTCTGTCCCTCTGGCTGAGACATTAAAACAAAAGACATTTAAAGCGTTCACTTGGGTAAGCTTGACGCTGGCCTCTCAGAAAAGCGACAAGACTCCAGAAAGACAATAGGGGTATCTCCTGTGCCAGGCTCCCTCCTGCACAGGACAAAGGAGCGATAAGGTGGCGATGTTTGCTCTGCCTCCGAGCAGATAACAACTCTTTGGGCTTCACTTCAAAGTCACGCTTATTTAGCAGCATGCGGGGCGGGGCTGTGAAACTGAATTAAAAAGCCATTTACATTGCAAATAGCTCTGCATTTCCTCCCACTGCGTTCATTGCCAGAGCCTCCATTGCACCACTTCCCGAGCAGAGCCACCTTCCTGGCCCTGATGCCTGCAGGACGTGCCCCGTGCATTGCGCCCCGTCCATTATTGATCTGCGCCGTGCCCAGGGGTACCTCGCACTCACTGTCCGGGCAGGCTGGCTGAGGTGGGGGCAGCATCCCCCCGACAGCATCAGCAGCAAGCTGTGACCGCCTGCAGCCAGCCCCGTGTGCAGGGGGTTCCTTCCAGACCAACCGTTCCCCAAGGTGCGCTCGCTAGATTCTGGGTATTTTATGGCAAGATTCTGGGTATCGCGGCCATTCAGGGCAGCGGCTGAGACAGCAGAGGCCCTGCTCTGACTTGCTCTCCCAAAAGATAAACAAAACTCATCCATCTCCACTAACACACGTATCTGAACTCCGGAGCTCTTCTACATTCCCCCTCCCGGCAGCCCCACAAGCTGCAGGAGCCCCCTCCGCCCGGCGGGACTGCTCCCCACAGGCAGACAGCGGCATTCACGCAGCAGGAATCCTTCAGGGATGAAAACACACAAACATGAACTTTTGTGGCAAACGAGATAACGAACCTGCTGACTCATTACTGGAAGCTGCACCAGACGTTTCAGCCGCCAGGCACCAGGAGGCCCTTGGCCTTCTTTTGGGATGCAAGGAGGGGACCGGGAAATTTTGTGACCGGTTTCTAAACTGAGTAATGCGGGAGCGAGAGAGCATGGAGTAGAGCACGGCAAACATTTTGCAAGAAAGCCTATTTTCGATATGCTACAATCTAAAAACTAAAAATATTTTTCCATATGAGACCACACAGGAAATTTGAATTTTCTCAATATCTCTGCTTTTGAGAAAAACAGCCCGCGTTTAAGGAGCTATGACTAAGCGCGCGGAGAAAATGAGAAAGTCCCATGGCCCAGAAAGACAAACAAATAATGAAAGCAATAGGAACAGATAAGAACTTTCAACTCCTGCAGCAGCTTATCACACCAAGACAATCAAAAACGGCTGAAAGACAAAACCCGAGCAGGGATTAATAACGGGGCCTGGAGGGCCGAGCACAGCGCCGGGACCAGAAGTTTCCAGCCTGGGTCTGCGCGGAGCAGCGCGCCCACGGGCAGCAGCCAGGTGTGGGCCTGAAACGAAGCGTGGAAGGAGATGAGAAGAGCAGGAAGGAAGGGGGCTCTGCTCCTGAGATCAGGTCTCCCTGGGCCGGTTACAAGACGAGGCTTCCCCTCCCGGGACGCGCTCTCCCCGTGACCGCGGAGGAAGGCTCGCGGCACGGCCGGCGTGGGCGCTCAGCCGCAGGGGCACGGGGCTGGGGGGAGCAGTGGGGGAGCCCCCTGCGAACGGCTTTGTTGGAAAGGTCACTGGAAAGGCGACACCGGCAGGGAACAAGTACAGGTTGTATTGCACGTGCTGTGCAAAGCACCGCTGCCAGCCGCCAGCCTCTGCACTGCCCGGCACGGGGAGGCGTCGGGAGAGCCGCCGGGCTGCGGGCAGGGCCGGGCATGGGGAAACGCACAGAGCCAGGCAGCGTGTGCCCAGAGCAGGGCCAACACCAACACACCTTGCTACCAAAAACCATCTGCTCGGTGGAAATGCTTGCAGCAGGTGCCTCGCAGCTCACCCAGCGCGGTGCCAAGCATGACGCAGCCCTGCGAGCACGATGCCAGCCGCTCCGGGGGCACAGCGGAGGCACCCGCAGCGATGGCACAACGAGCAGGTCGCTGCCTTGTGAATGACTAAGAGACCAAAACCCCAAAATGCTGAATACCTCCTGTTCCCATAAACACCAATTGGTATTAGAAGCACTTAGCTTCTGGCCCTGAGCAATGACCTAGATTATCCTAAATTGCACAGCCTTTGTCATCTGCCAGATCAGCTGCTCCTCCTCCTACGGCTTATTTGGCAAGACACCGGCTGTCATCCCTGCTCACCTTGTTTATAAACCTGATTTAATGCGCAGAGACTACAACTAGGTTTAGTTAGGAAAGGGCATTAGCAGTACACCGTGCTATCCGTGGCACAGGGAAGTGTTTCAGCCAGACACTACAGCTGCATTCTGGGGCTCATTTTGCTGTAATGGTATCTGATGTTTTCTGAGCACGGCACTAGAACGCTCCTAACTTCCCACGGAGAAAATCAGAGCTATGTGCAAACGCAGTGTTAGGGATTTCTTAGCCTTTCCCCCAAATACCTCTCTCACAGAGTTTCAGCATTCAGCGCTGGGAATTCTGGAGCCTGCTCCCTGCCAGACAATAGGAAAAGGAAGCGGTGCCGCAGTGACAGGCCAGGCTCAAGACTTTCAGTTCTGGAGCGTTGGATCATCTCTGGAGGAGACGAGCACACATTCCTCCCCCCAGCAGACAATAGCTTCTCTGCCTGTTATTTAAAATGGCCCGAGCCTGCAGCCGGCCTGGCATGCCTACCAGCTTCCCAAAATGCACCGCCGACAAGAGCCGGCTTTGTGCTGAGGGATGCAGCACGGGAAGAACCGGCCGAGGCTGCCACCTCTAGGCTGTGCGGCTCCTGCGCTGGGGTGTGCGGGGCCACCTCGCTCCTCTCCGCCTTATCACCGCCGGCACGGAGCTCACTCCGCATCCCGGAACACCTTTCCCAGTTGCTATCAACGGAGCCTGAAAAGCTACTCCGAATTCATGGCAAGAGGAGATAACAGCACTTGAATGAAAAGGGAAATTTCATCAGGAAGATGCACACGTGCACCGTTTGTTCGCGGTGTTGCTGATACGCCAGCACAGCGCAACCGCGTGCGGGGCTCCCGGAGCCCCCTCCAGCAGCGGGACAGCCCTGATCCAGAGCCCCACCTGGAGCCCCTTGGGAGGGGACAGCGCAGGAGCACAGCAGGGCCACCTGCAGGGTTATTTACGGGTAATTTGCTGGAGAGTAAGAGCAGAGGCTTTGGACACGAGTGCCAGGCGGCAGCGATGTGGCCTCTCCATCAGCACGGACATCAGTGGGGTTTGTGCTGTACGGGCGCAGGTCTCAGCCCTTGGGTCGCTGACCCACGCCTGCCCCGGGAGGCACAGCGCAGCCCAGCAAGTGTCAGTCCACGTGCTTCACAAGGGACAATCCGATGTGTGTGTCCATCACAAGCAAGTGACGCGTAGAGAAGAATCTTCCTGCTCTCTTAACCCATCCACTTCCAAACGAACCATTGGGGAGGTAGCTTCCACCTCCAGGAGAGGCACGGTGGTGGCACTACTCAGCCCTTTCCCTCCCAACAGCACAGATGCAGGCAGCACACTCAAAATGAGCCCAGGTCTCCCAGGCTGGGGCAAGGGAAGGTGCCTGCAGCAGTTACAAAACACTCAGCTCCTGCTGGACCTTGCTTACAAGCCTCATTTTCATTTTAAGTTGCATGCAGAAAAGGAGAAAACTGCTGTAAGTCAAACGCAGCACATGTGTGAGACAGAGAAGCATCCTGGGGATGCTTGCCTTAATCACATCCAGGCTTCCAGCATGGGGCTGAAGAACAAGACATCAAGTTTCTAACTTCTCTATTAGCAGAGACAATAAAAAAGAAAAACAAAACCAACACAACACAAAAAGCCCGAGACCAGAGCAGAAAACAACCAGCCCAGGACAAAAAGCCCTCTGCACACTCAGCCTGACGGAGCTGCAGCCAGCCCTCGGTCACGGCCGTGCCATCGCCCGCGGACCCCAGCCCGTGCCCCACAGCACAGATTGGGGGCAGCGCCCAGCCCGCAGCTCCTCTCCTCCTGCCTGAATCACGCTGGGAAGCACCGTGCCTGGGCAGCCAGCGACGAGTTTTTATACCAAGAACACGCACAGCTGCCTGCATACTGGGCGGAAAAATCAGCTTTTTGGTTCATGTTTTCTGCTCTCGTGGCTCTCAGGCAGGGGAGCTGGGAACACGTATGTGAAATGAGCAATTTCTCAGGTTTCCCCGCCTTCGCCGCTCCCCTGCCATTATTTACATTTAGCAGGCGCATTTCTGGAGCAGCTCTTGATCCCATGCCTAGCAGGCTCCAGACATCAAGGGAAGGTTCAGCCGTCTCTGAAAGCACTACAGAAGAAAACTATTGTGGTGGCTGGCTTCTCCTCCTCCCAGTTTTATTTTGATTTTCACGTTTAAAAAAAAAAAAAAAAACACTCCTCAGGGCATAGGAAAAAAATCCCAGCGTCAGCAGAAATCCTGCAGCTTCCTGGAGGAAAACGGAGCTCCAGGGAGCGGGCAGCATCGGCCAGCGAAGGGGAGAGGACAGCTGGAACGGGAGCAGGCACAAACCTGGGAGGGCACAGATACTCCGTGACTTTGGAGCATGCTTTGGGAAAGCAGGTCAGCGTCCTGCAGCGAGGAAGGGACGAGGCAGTAACACCGCGTGGAGCAGCAGCACCAGCTCGGTTTTGCTGTTTATGTAGGGAAGCCATGCGTGATGCTAGCTGGACACAAACGGGCTCCCATTCCTGGGCGCTGTGGATTGAACCCACACGTCTGCCTGGCTCAGCTGCTCAGAGATAAATCGCATCAGAAAGCATTTTACTCCTCTGGGGAAAAAGAAACAAACTGGAAGTGCCCAGAGGTGTGAGCTGGGCTTCCAGCGCTGACCAGCCACAGCACGGCGGCTGCAGCCCGGCCCCGGCACAAAAGCCAAAGTTATTTCAGCACATACCCAGCGCTGGAAAGAGGCACCCCAGCCCTGCCAAGACACATGCAGCGTGTCTTTTCCGTCCTTGTGACCATTTACCCTGCACGGCCAGAGCCTGCAGAAGTGCTAAAACACCGCTCAGTTCAGAACGAGCAGAGTAAACTCGGCACCTTGTAAAACGAAGCGCTAACCCAACACCCTGCGAGCACCTGGCTGCGAGCACCGGGGAGACTGCGTTTCCACAGCCTAAAGCTTTCCACTCGCAGGAGGGTACGACCACAGCAGCAGGCAGACACCCAAGCTGCGCGGGAAGCATCCAGGAAAGCCCCCTGGAAAGCCGGGGGCAGGCACCGCGGGCCCGAGGTGCACCCCAGGCTGCGACGCCCCTCGGCACTCACCGGTCGACGGCTTCCACATCAAAGCAAAATCTCTTCTCGATTGAGTCGGTTTTCCGCCGCGTGCAAGATTTGAGGATAACAGCTTCGTCTTCTCCCTGAGAAGAGACAGAATCGCAGGTAAGGCGGAGAACAGCCAACCGTGCGCCTGCCCCCAGCGCCCACCGCGCTCCCCATTACCGCGTTCAAACCAGAGGGAGCTTTGGTAACACCAGCAACGCATCACCTGCTAAATGTGTAATTACACATCCCAAATGAGGGCTTGTCTTTCCACCTTGGCAGACGTGGTTATTCCAAAACAAGGAAGTGTCCCTTCTGAGGGCACGCGGTGAGCTTCATGCACCGCGTATCGCGCAGCACACGTTTCAGGCAGGCAGGGAGTGCTGGACCTCAACTTTTGGGCAAAGCTTTATTTTCCATTGCTGAACAATGCCTCACAGACCTGGCTGTCAATTCTCACTCCAGCGCTGGCTGCATTTTTGGCAGCGTTCTGCACACACAAACCCCTAACGGGAGCAAACATGTCTTCAAATGTTTATTATTTAACAAAGCAATGACAAAACCGTCCTCCCATCCAGGCATCCGCATCCAAGCCGTGCTGGATTTCCCCACGCCGAGCAGCAGTCGGACAGGATCTGCGTGCACTGCTGTCCTCTGCTGGAGGAAGGCCCTCCTCAGGCCCTGCCAGCACAGAAAATTCTCCCTTTGCGATTTTTAAAATCCACCGATGACTCAATAGAAGATAAATCCTGCGCGTGTTCCTGGAGACGGCCGCTTCTCTGTGCTCTCCGTGCTGTTCTAGACGACACCTTGGCTGACCACCCTGTTCCCTGACATCGCCGTTTTCCAGGAAACCTATTTAGGGCCCCAGCAGGAACTCGGAAGGACAGCTCGGAGGGGTCTCTGCAGGGCTGCTCCCCAGGGTCTGGCACGCTGCCTGCACCCTGCCGCTCACCGCGGGCACGAGGCTGCTCCCGAGCTGCCCTGCTCCCCCTGGTATTCGGGGAATGCCCCACTTCAGAGCCGCCGATATCAAACGATATCCAACGCCAGCCGCAGCCCCAGGCACGCTCGTGAGAGGCTGGCAGCAGCAGAGCCTGTGGTGGCCCACGTGTGGCTGTCCCCTCCTGCAGCACCACCCCGTGCCCGCAGCGCACAGACCCCAGGACACCCGGCCACGGCGCTCGCTGGTGAGCTGTGCACAGCCTGCACGGGGCTGCGCTTCAGGGGGAGCACAGGGCACGAGACCCAGCACAGGCAGTGCTTTCTGCCAGGATGCTACAAGCCTCCAGACCTCAGGAGAGCAGCGCCGGAGCGGGCGCCCGCCCTGCACGAGGAGGGCACCGCGGCGTGCGGCAGCGCCCACACCCCAGGCACCGGGGAAGCCGTGAAGTGGGCAGGGACCACATGAAATAACACACAGCAGCTGACAATTACAAGGCTGGCATACTTGAAGGCTAAGTTATAATGAAGATGCTCCGAGGCAAGAGGAAATTCATTTTAAAACTTGCCCTGCTCCCTTTGCCAGCTCCCTTTGCCAGCAGGGAGCTGCACGGAAGCTTGCAGAGCTGCCACAGGCAGCTCCCCTGGACAGGGACGATGCTCGCAAACCACCCCAGCTGGGAACACACCGGGGGGCTTCATTGTTCCTGCTTTAGAGGAGAGGAAAGCCAGACCCTGCTACAGCTGGGCTTACGCTGCCCGGGAGCGCTCCCCCTGCACTGGCACACGGGGTCCGAAGGGAGCTGCACGCTCTCCTGCAGCTCTGCCCAAAACGGCCCAAAAGGAAGCAGCTTTATCGGCCAAGCCACAGGCAGCGGGGAAGGAGCAAAACAACCGACAGCCTGCCTGCCCTGCTCCTGCAGCAGGAATCAGGGACCGGGAACCAGGCGGTCACGAGGGTGTGCATAGCACGGCCGCTGCGCCCCCAGAACTGCCACCACCGCCTCTGCCAGCAGCATCACGGCACGGCCAGGGGGCACGGCCAGGGGGCACGGCCACAGCAGAGACCTCCCCAGGACACATCCAGCTTTGTGCTGACACTCACCGCCTTTCCTCCAGATTTCTGGTCGAACGGCACCATCGTTATCCGCTTGGATTCCCGCTCGTATGTGCAGTAATGCTTCACCCAGGCCGTACTGAAGTGACCTGCAAAGCAAACGCGGTTTTTATTCCCAGAACTAGGAGGGTTTGACTGCACTGCCACTAATAACCCGCAGGTTTAACGATCCTTTAGCACAGCGGGGTTCTGTACCTGTGCTTCTCGCTGTACTTCACCAGTGGAATAAGCACTGCCACCCCTTTTTGTTCAGGGAAGGGAAAGCAGACCTGGCGGGCACTGGGCAGGGATTCTCCCATACTCACACCACAATACCCCAGCCACTGGGCCAGTCCCCCCCTCCCAGATTTTGGGGTCTGCTGAGCTGACTTCCATGTCCCCCGCTCCAACAAACCACTGCCCCCCACGCCCCTTCGCCGTATCGCCCTGGTCGCCTACGTTTCTCCTGGACATAGAGATAACCCTCCATCGTGTTAGGGCTGAGGTTTTTGTGCTCGTGAGGATTCTCCTTCATCTTCTTCATCAGCGATTCAACCTCTGACCTTGTTCCTTCAAAACGGTTTCTTGTCTGCAAATCAAAACAGGAATGCAGGAGCAGAGCTAGCTGGGGAGCCACCTTCCCATCCCTTCTTCCATTCAACTTCAATAAATTCTTAACTTTTTTGTGAAAATAAATAAACAGAGTGGCACAAATCCAAGCCTCAGGTGGCTACACCCTTTATGCAGATTCACACTTATGCAGAAAGTTACATGACTGCATTTTTATGGGACTGCTGGCAGGAGGACCCCGGCGCTGGGTCAGCACAGCCCTCACAGCAAATGGGACCAGCAGAGCCCATGAATAGATCATTTTTCCCTGGGCCTGGATTTAATCAAAAAGAAAAATATTACAGCAATTGGCAAGTCACTTGTATTGTAAGTTTTCTGAAAAAGTTGCTCCAAAATAACGAAACCACTCTGAGTCCTTCGTCAAAAAAGGATTTCTCTAACACAAGAGGGAAGCACAGCTCGCTGCGGGGCCAGCACGCCAAACGCAGAGCCCTGCCCCTCAGGCTGTGCCTGTGGCATAGCACTATTTACCAAAAGGAACTTCCTTTCAGTAATGTGGTGAAACCCTTGGCTTCATGGCACGTACAAAAAAAAGAGCAGGCCTTCACTACGATCAGAGACGAGCGAGGTTTCTTGCCGGCCAGGCGGGCACAGCAGCACGGGCACTTACGTTCTGGATGCTGATGGTCAGCTCCGTCTTGAAGTCGCTGAAATCCTTCGCAAGCTCGTAGCCATGGTGGTAGAAGGTAAAAAGCCCCTGCAGGAAGGCCAGCAGCTGCATTGGGGTAAAACGAATCGAGACCATCAGTCTTCCTCGGGGACTGCCGGGGCAAGCATCGCTGGCCCTTGGCCAGTGACAGCCACCCAGCAGCCCCACCAACCCCCTGCTGCAGTCAGTCCCACTGACCCCGCGATACCCAAATCCTCCTCCTCAGCCCCTGCACAACCACAAACCGAGCTCTTGGACAGCCAAACCCTGGAACTTCTGCTCCCAAACACAGACGAGCAAACCCCCCTGCCCAGGACCCCGCTCCCACCCCTGCCCCACGTCATTCACACTCTGCTGGGAGCCAGGAGGTGTCAGCAGAAGCTCCCCTGGCTGAGTTACTCTCCACCAGGAGGGAATTACTCCTTGCAAACAGCAGGGGAGGTTTTGCATTTCCTAGAGAAGCTCTAAACGGCCTAGAACTGAGCAAAGGCAGATCCCAGAAAACCCATTTTTAATCTCTGTCACTCCTGAGCACTTTTTCCCTTGTGAGCATTACAGTTCTCTCCAGACTCTATTTTTTTTCCCTCAGTCAAGCCTCTCCTTTTAGTTGCCAGCAGACCCCGCAGTCTGGTCCATTACAGCAGAGGTGTCTGCAGAACCAAACGCTCTGGGTGTGCATGGGGCCAAGCTCACGGCCCTGTGCCCAGCACCGAGGGGCTCACCCAAAGCACATCCCCTGCTGCCTCCCCCAGACCCCACGGGGGGCTGCAGAGCCCTGGCTCCGTGGCACCGCATCCCCCAGGACCCCTCTGTGTGGGACGGGGAGGGCTGAGCGTTCACTTACAGGTTCCACGAACTCAAACATCTTCCTCTCCTGGACCTCCTGCACCTTGAAGACGTACTCCAGGGAGACTTCGTAGAAATGCTGCCGCACCAGGTCCACCTGGCTGTCTGCCTGCGAGCACCGGGGGGGTGAAAGAGGAAAAACAAAGTCAGTGCTGGCTGGGGGCATGGCCAGAGGACACCTGGGGCTAACGGGGACGGGGCCGTGCCGAACGCAGAGCCACCAGTCCGGGGCTGGACAGATGGCACAGAGATTAAATATAAACCTGAGGCACACGAGCAGGCTCCTTCAGCTGAAAAAAAAGGGGGTTGATGACTCACGTCCTCACCTCCCCGACAGCTGGGTAGGAAAGCACGAGTGAGAAGTGAGAAAAAGGAGCAGCCGCCACGCACCCGACTGCGAGAGGAGGCTCCCTGCTGCCTGGAAAACCACACACAGGGCAGGGCAGGGGGCTGCCGGGGCCTCCAGCACACACCACAATGGGGTCACTGCTCAGAGCCACCCCAAACAACGCAACCCAGCCCGGGGCACGCTGCCCCAGGGACCCCTGGGGGCTACACACCCGGAGCCCTGCCCGATAAACGCCCGCCTGCACGCTCACAGCGCCCTGCTCCCCGTTTTCCCTGGGACACCGCTGTGAAATGGAGCATTTTCCCCATGACCTGCCACTTGTGCTGGGTGTCTGCGGTGCAGGGGCCGAGACGTTTAGCAAATCGAGCTCTGAAAAGCAGAAAATGTGATGCAATGAAGTAACTTTGCCAGGAGTTAAATGGCATGTTCGCCTCGGCGTGTTATTTAGCTGGTCAGCAGCCAAAGCAGCAGAGAATTCCCATGGTTTCCTCCTCTCCTGGCGTTCCTACAGCAGCTGCACATGTGGCCACTATCACCCTCCAGATGTGGACAGCAGGACGAGATTAGGAAATATAAAACACCCAATCACCCGGACACAAACCCTCATCCCTCAGCCGTCAGGGTATCTGATGAGGCTTCAGGCTGCTAATAAACGGCTGGGGTTGGCTTTCCTGAAACGTTTCCATCCCACCAGCGACTGCTCCGTGCACATCTGCAGGGGAAAAGCCCTCAGCTCCTGGCAGGCACCAGCTGGCCCCGGCCTTTGCAGCAAAAGCCTGAGTTAAAGTTTGGGGTGGAAAATACCAGCAGATGGCACCAGCAGCCAGCACTGCTGAGCACGCACCAGCAGCGGCATCCTGCACGGCACGGCACGGTATGGCATGGCACAGCATGGCATGGCACAGCATGGCATGGCATGGCACAGCATGGCATGGCACCACACCACCCCCTCCAAGGGCAGCTGGGGACACGCCAGCACCCTGCCCAAAACCAAGCCCTGCGGGGACCGGCCAGCCCTGGCAGCTGACGGAACGCCAGACGCGCAAGAAATGACTGAAAATTCAGCATTTACCAAGTAAGCAACAGCCTCACAAAGCAGTCTGGAAGCACTAAGCCCGGTCGCCCTTCTCACGAAGCTCAAAGCCAGCGCAGCCACTTCCAGGGAAGGGAAATGAAGCCGTGATTTGCCGGGGCACACAGGGAGCCTGCAGCAGAACCAGCTCCCTTCTGCTGCGCTCTTTAATTACAAACTCTGTCCTTTTTGATTGCTATCCATTTTGGGATCTCTCTGACTTACTCACCAAAACAGCTCTGTCCCCTTTGATTAAAGGAAGAGGGGAAAACCTGCCACTCGCAGCCAACGTGAGGAAAAAAAATAGTTTACAGCCAAGAAAGCCACTGCTGTACGCTGCTGAAAGCATTCAGAAAGCTCAACAGCCACTGGCAGACATGGAAAACCAGGGGTTGCGCTCACCTCCTGCAGCTGGGATTCCTTCTTCTTGGAAGACAAGTTCAAGTGCTTTTCTAGGACACCGCAGTACTTCTCGGTCTCCTTGTCGTATTTCTTTTTGGCATCCTACAAAACAGAGCAAACGGCGCGATGCTGCGCCCCAGGGCACCGTGCCAGCGGGAGGAGGCTCCATGGGACCCCCTCCACACGGGACCCCCGGCTGGGAGCTGCCCACCCTCCGCTCAGCCCATCCAGCATCCAGGGGGCTGGGCACAGGTAAACGCCAGGAATTTGGGGCCAGGCGAGGCCCCACTGGCTGGCAGGGCAGCCAGGGAGGTGACCCCAGTGCCAGGGCCCTGCTCGCTTCCATCCCCGGGCAGCGGCTCACGCCGGGTGTCATCGGCAGGACACCGAGACTCGGCTGGTTGTGGGAGGCAGATGTCAGCCCAGCCCTGGCACTGGGAAAAGCCCGTGCGAGGCAAGGCAGCTGGGGTTATTTTAAGTTTGTTCTAAAAAGCGATAGCAGCCCTGCGGCCACACCCAGGGCAGGCAGGCTTTGAAGAGCCCAAATTGGAGGGCGAACGGAGGCAGCGGCCGCACAGCAGCTCCCGCAGAGCAGCTCCCTCGCCCCTACGCCTGCTCCTCGCTTCCTACCAGGCTGGGCTCCACCATGCTCTGACCCCGATCAGCACCAGGAGACGAGGCTGAGGGTCAGGCCAAAAAAAGGGTGGTGCTGTGCGAGGCCACCCAGCCACGGGACATTCAATCAGTGCCCCCAGGGCAGCTCGCACCGAGCCCCTGCCCACAGCCAGGCAGCAGAGGCACCCCTGGGCTCCCTCCCCGACACCTCCAGCCTGGGCCCAGCCTCATCTCGCTGCCTCCAGATGTGGATCTTCTGCAGGATCCCTTTTTGTGCCTTTTTTTTTCCCTTTTTTTTTTTTTTTTTCCAGCTGCATAAACCAATTCGGATCAGCCTTGGGTACAGGGCACTCTGCTGCCATGCGAACGCTGCCCCAGCCCGCTGGCACGTGCTTCTGGCGGGCAGCAGCAGGTTGTTATAACAACAGCAGAGCCACAGGCAGCGTCTGTAATTCCAGAACAAAGGCAGGAAAGAAAGGCCGGCAGGGACAGCCTGTCCCACAGCAGCCTCAGACACACGGGTGTGTTCCCGGGTTCACGCGGGCTGCCAGAAGCCACCCAGATCTGCAGCGAGCCGGGAGGGAGGGAGCACGGAGCTGAAGGGTTCAGGGACCTGCGAGCTCAGTCTCACAGAACGCAAATTCTGGTGCGGAGGAAGAAAAAAATTGCTGAAACTGGGACGTGATTTTTGGCCCACGGCTCATGTCGGTGCATGACTTGGCTGCAGGTGGACTGGGAAGCACCGAGGCACCTGCACAGGGGCTGGGCTGTCCCTGAGCACCCCGAGCCTGTGCCTCCGAGCCCCGGCAGAGGCTCACAGCCGAGGCCGTGACTCGATGCAGGAGCCACCCACCTTAGCGGCGCCGATCTGCTCCTTGCGGAACTTCTCCAGCGGCGTGATCAGCACCTCGCTGGCGTTCTCGATCTGCCGGGCACACACGGGGAAGAGTCACCCGCAGCTCCCCAGGCACACCGTGCGCTTAGCCCCGTGCCCAACACCCCTGCTCCTTCCCTGCGGGCACACCGCTGCCACTGGTCTCTGCTGGGCCAAGGACCACCCCCCACAGCCCCCTGTGCCTCGTCCTCCCCCCGCACACCCAACTGGGCTCCAGCAGGGATGCTGCGCGGCGTGCCCCAGCCCTGCTCTTCACCCCAGCGCACCCTGGCAGCACCCTCCCTCTGCCCCAGCAGTGCCGTGGGTGAGGGAAGGGGCCTGGACCCCATGGGGGCTGCCCATCTTGGGGCCGTACCATGCGCATCCGCTCGTCCTCCAGGTTCCGCAGCACCGTGGCAAACTCCTGCAGGGACTTGGCTGCAAGGGACACACCAAGAGGTTCAGCACGTAGCAGCGCTTTCTTTTTTAACTCCGAGCATCCGAGTAGCTATAGCAACACATCTCCAGCGCTCGCCGCCTCCCAGGCTGGCTCTGGCTGCCCACCAGCTCCGTGGCAGCACGAACCCTGCCGTGCTGGCCGCTGTGGGACCTGGGAGCAAGGGGGCTGCCCTCAAACCTCGGGGGAAATAATGCCCAAAGCAGCTGCTCAGCCTGGGGGTGCCTTCCCAGCGAGCGCACTGCGTTCACTTGACTCCCAGCCCTGCTCAAATGGAAAAGCTGTTTGAGCTTTAGGGCTGATTTGTGCCCGGTCTCAGCACATTCTCCCTGCTGGCTGCAGACCTCACGCACAATGAGCTCTGGGAAGCGCAGCCTGGGCAGCCACGGGGTAGCTCGGAGCGCAGGGGATGAAGTTTTTCCCCGTGCTCAGCCCAGCCCAGGCTGCGCAGCATCACCCGCCCTCGGCTGCTCGCGCATGGCCAGTGCAGGGGCTGCAGCCACCAAGGCCGGGGCTGCCCCTCTCCTGCAGGTCCCAGCAGGGCATGGTCCCAGCTGCAATCCCGGCTCCCTGGGTGTCCCGCTGCATTCCCACCCCCTGCACTGCCCAGCCCGAGGGGTTTGCAGCAGACCGAGGATCCCCACATAGCAGCGCCCACCCTCACCTATGCAGATCTCGTCGTCCGTCTCCGCGTCGCCGATGCAGTTGAATTTGAACTCGTTGAGGGAGTCGGCGAATTTGCGCTTGGCTGAGGAGAGATCTGCCAGGAGACAGCAGGAGAGGGGAAATGTGGGTGTCAGCCCAGGAACAAGCCCACCGACGGCATGGCCCAGGTGGGCACGGGGTCCCAGCCAGCAACCCCCAGGGGGACCCATTTGGGGAGGTCCCTTCCTGCCCCGCACACCCCAGGGATGGGCTCTGGGGGTCCCGGCCAGCACCCCCCAAACACGCCACGGGAGAGGCAGCCCCAGCTTCTCGCCGTGACAGCCTCGGGGGGTCCAAGCCCAGCGCCCCGGGGTGAACACAGCGGGTGACAGCCCAGGGCACGGCCGGGTGGTGGCACCGCTGCCCCCAGGCCCTGTCTGTGGGCGTTCCAGCAGAGGTTGATTGCTTTACGAGGCACAGACTCTCCGAGAGCTGAATCCTATTAAGTTATTACTTCAGTGACCTGAGCGGATCCAGGCCTGGCTTCCCGAAGCAGCCCCATAGCCCTGCGCACGCACGCGGCCCCGGGCACCGCGGGGCTGCCAGCTCTGCGGGGAGCTCGAAGCGCAGCAGGGCAGAGCCTCTGGGCACACTGACAGCATCAGGATGCTGCCCTGCTAAATCCCCTGGGCATTTCTGCGCTCAGCGTCCCCAAAATTCAGCCAGCTTTTCCCTTCCCAAACACCACTGGAAAACAGTTTGTGCACGTAAGGACCGCGTCCCCCTCAGGCAGCCGCTGCCAGAAGAGAACCGAGGCAGAACGGGAGCATTTTGCATTCCCTGGGGGATAAGGGACCTTAAAGCTTTCTCTGAGCATTAAAGCTGCTTTCCCGGTGCAGCCCACGAGCAAAGCTGCGCCCGGCTGCCCGCACACAGCTCCTGAGGCAGCAGCAAAACCGAAATGCCAGCAGGGAGAGGGCCAGGCAGCAGCAGGGGCTCGGCTGCTCAGGGACCCCCAGGAGTTACCGAGGGCAGCACCAGCACAGGCCCCCCCACACCTCCCCTCACGCCCCCACCAGCCCCTTCCCTCGGCAGCTCGGGGGCTTCACCCCGGTCCCCAGGAGCCCCGCAGCCTCCTGTGGAATGGCAACGGAGTAGGATGTTAATGAGATGACGTTAATGACTCAAGGAGCCACTTCCTCCCCGCCAGCTCCGCGCTGACCCCAGGCCACCCGGCCGGGCTCACAGGACTCCCAGCCCCAGCAGCTGCCTGGGCAGGGGCACCCCAAGCCTGGAAGATTTTCGGAACGATGGCCCCCAGCACGTATACATAGAGGGAGGGGAGGCTGAAGGGGAAGGAGATAACTCCCAGAGCAGTGGTGATAAAGGGAAATCGCTCCCAGCTGCTCGCTGAGTGACACCACCAATTCACAGGGTGCTGCAGCAGCTAAAATTAGCGGCAGGCTGGGCCAGGAAAGCAGATGGGCAGCACAGGGGGGCCCAGTCCCTATTAGCCCATCACATCCTCGCATCCCACTGCCCGTCAGTGTTTTAGGGAACCCCCTCGGCAGGAGGACAAGCCCTAAGTGCACTGCGAGGGATGGCGTGTGGGGAAGGGCAGGGCAGGGCAGGGTGCTCGCCCCCGCGCAGAGCTCACTGACAGACACTCGCCTCCCCCCGGGCTGTGGGTGAGCAAACAAAATCCTGCAAAGGCTCGGGAGGAACTTCTGCTTTCCCTCGTGCATCACCACGCAGCTCCCCACGCGCGTGAGTCAAAGCCGCGCTGCGCGAGTTCTGCTTCCAGCTCCTGGCTGGCTGCACCACCCGGCCACAAAATCACGCAAAAACACCACGAAGCCGGAAAAATCCTGCTGCCTGAGCAGCACGGCTGGCCTGGGGCCTGGGCACCACCAGATGGTGGTCCCGGCACGGCCGGGGCTGCTCCCCACCAGCTCTGGAAGCTGCGTGGTGGCCGAGCACCCGCAGGGTCCCCTGGCAGCGCGGCCAGGAGCTGTGCACCCTGCAGAGCCCCCAAGGTGCCCATGGCCACGGGAGCCAGCCCTGCCTCCATGCCCCAACACTACCTGTGTCTGGGGAGGGGGAGACACCCACGGGCTGAGCAGCACCGACCCCAAATCCCTCTCACCTGCAGGTAATGGGTGCAGCCGGGGCTCGCCTGCCCTCGCCACACCAGGCAGGGAAGGCGCCCGCGTGCCGATGCGGGTCAGTGCGCTCACCCTCCCAGTGCTAAAACAACGGCCAACTCTGCAGTCACCGGCTTTCTGTGCTGTTCCTGCCTGTCCTCCCCTCTGCTCTGGTGCCCCACGCTCTCCCTCACCTGCTGCGTTCCCCCTCTCCATCCCCACCCGGTGCTGCAGGCGGTGCCGTGCTGTGCCATGCCCCGAGGCGCCCCGCTCCCCGCACCCGTTTCGGGAGGAGGATCCCTTTCGGAAAGTCAATCTGACAGAAAGCAGGCACAAGCATGAGCACGGCATGCCAGAGGTCCAGCTGCGTAACCACGGCAACGAGCAATCTAAATAAAATGCCCTTTTAAAAGTGATGTATGGGCTCGTTACTGCAATATAGGGTTACCAGCTCAAACATTTACGGGAACAGCTACAGTAGCGCTCCCCTTCCTGAGAACTCTGCCCTTCCTGGAGGAGGGTTACGACTCAGACAGGGTGCCAAAAGGGAGAAAGCTGCAGGCAGCTGGGGACGAGGGACGGGGAAGGAGCGGGCGGTGACACCACCACACACCCCGCTGCCCAGGCAGGGCGTGAGAGCAGCGCCGAGCTCCAGCGCTGGGGCGAGAGCCTGCGGGTACCAGGAGCTACACGTGGGGCCCCCGGTGGGACACTGATCGGGGAGGCTGAACCACAGCCACAGCCCCACGCACGGCTCACGTGCTGCTCCGAGTCCCTTGCGTAACCTCGAGCTGAACCACAGCCAGCTCCCGGCGCCGTTCACCCACGGGGTGAGCTCCCCTGCGCTGCCTGCGCGCCCGGGTCCCAGCAGCGAGGCTGCCGGTGTCCTTCGAGGCAAACTGCTCAGGTCAGGCAACGAGCAGCAGAGCTCACACCCGTCTGCACTGCCTCACGGCTCCAGGACCTGGGCTCCTTCCAAAATTCACGGGGACCGAGAGGACAGCAGCCCACAGCCCCTCTCCGGCCTGGCGTCCCCGTGCCCCTCACGCCCACTCCCCCCTTCAGCCCTCCCCGAGGTCACCTCCTGGCCCCGAGCACTCGGCTGCATCATCCTTCTGGGAAGCAGCTTCTGTAACCGCAAGGGGACTGAAGTGTTTGGTTTTGAAGCCCTTCCCAAAGACATTTGGAAGCGCTGCAGAAGGCCGGCCCCACAACCGAGGCGCTTTGGTTTCGTAACCCTGTCCGTGCGCACCCTCCCGGCGCGAGGAAAGCCCCGTCCCGGGCACGGCCCCACTGCTCCGTGCCCTGCAGAGCTGGCACCCCCTGGCACATCGCCCTCGGGGCAGCGGGGCGTCCCAAAAGGGCACCACAGGCAGGTGAAGGGACCAAAGGTGCCGAGGGAAACTGGGGATTTTGGGGTGGATCTGGCAGGGCACGGGGACGCAGGAGGCCGGCCGCTCGCTGCGCCGCAGGTTCAGCGCCCATCCCCTGAAACACTCTGTTCTCACCCAGAGCGGGGTTTCTACACTTCCTGTGAAGAAACTTGCTTAATAATCTATATTTAAAGCTGAATTGGACAACAGGAACCACGACGCCTGCCCCTTCCTTCCCCCGCCGCAGGGAGCAGCGGGCTCGTCCGGCTGGGCCAGGCCCGCAGGAGGGACCGGGGGGTCCCCAGCAGCACAGGAGCTGCTTCCAGCCCCCTGCCCCCTGCCCTGCTGTCACCGCCACGAGGAGCATCCCTCGCCCTGCCACGCACATCCCTCACCCCACGGTACAGGGGCACCGTGTGCCTGCTCCCTGTGCCCGCACCCAGCCCGCTCGCTGGCATCGCAGCGCTCGCTTCTGACAGCCCCAAAGGCTCCCCCCCGACACATCCCTTACAGCTTCCCAGAAATAAAAGGGAATTGCTCCTGCTTTACGATCAATCCACCTTCTGGTTTTAAAAACCGCCTGGGCACAAGCCCCACACGGGCACCCCTGTGAAAGCCGGGGGTCCGGGCGCTTTGGGGCTGCCCCTCACGGCCCTACAGGGGCAGCTCGCAGTAAAAGCAGGCTGACCCCACAAACAGCCCCCTGCTGCAGCCACCGGGTCTGGCCGAGCTGTTTAAGCTGCGTGGAGGCCCCGCTGCAGCTCCCAGCCTCTGCAGCCCTTCCCTCTGCTCGGGGCCGTGCGAGCGCAGCAGCTGGGACACGTAACGGGGGAGCCTGTGTCGGGCTTCTTGGGACATCTCGAGAGCAGTTCCCTTGGCAAGGAGGCTGAAGGCATCGCCAGGAATTGACCCCGCACTAACTGGGAACCAGGAGGCAGAGGCCAGGCACCGAGCCCCGGCTTTATTCACACCCCCTGCAACCAGCCTGGAGGGAAGGCACCCAAAGGCACCCACGACGTGTCCATAATGCAGCGGATCAGCAGAGCCCAGCGGTGTCCCCATGGGCCACAGCCCCTCGGTGCCAAGAGCAGAGACGTGGGAAGTTTGGATGTGCCAAGCCCCAAAAAACCCAGCGCCCTGTCCCCGGCAGCACGGAGGTATCAGAGCGAGGAGCCCCGAGCGGCCGAGCACGCCGCGCTGCTCTCCAGCCCATGCATCATCATATGCCTCGCTTCACACACTCAGAGTGGATTCATACGGCAAAATGTTTGCCAGAAGGACAGAGCACCCATTGTGGGATGAATGGGACCATTGACCGGGCTCAAATAGCAGATCAGATTTGAGTAACACGCTGAAGACATGAATTATTTTCATGGTATTTTAAGAGATAAAAGTTCTGCGCTTCGTGAAAAACAAAGTCAGCCTTTGGCAGGCCCGCCTGGTTGCACAGCTAAAATTATTCCCCGCTCCCCCCCTGAGCCAGCACCCCGGCCACGTCAGCGCCCACCCCCAAATCCCTGACGCTGCGGGAGCGCTGCCAGGCCGGGATGCTTGGCACAGAGACGCCCGATGAACGGCACCGAGGATCCAAGAGGGACGAAGCCAGGAGGACGTCAGGGCTCCAGGCAATGCTGCCGGAGCTCCGGGAAGGTGAGGGAGGTGTCCTTGGAGCACGGGGACAGCAGCTCCTGGGCTGCCGTGGGACAGGGAGCCCCCCGGGAAGCTGAGTTTGAAGCTGGGTTTGAGGGGACTGATCGGTAGTCGGAGCCCTCTTCCTTGCCCCGAAGTACCTGTGCCTTTTCTGAACTCCACCAGCCCGAACCTTCTGCAGTTTTGGGGCATTTTGGCCTGGTCCAGCCCCTGTGCTCGCCATGCTCCGGGCACGGATCTGACCACAGCTCTCCGCCCTTCCTGTGCAGCTTTTCTTAGCGCTTGTCCGTGCACTTCCCATCGCACCGACATCACTGCAGCAGCTCTGGTGACACAGATTTTGTCCCTCGGTGGCCGAGGTGCCATCAGAGCCACAGCACACACACAGGGAAGCCAGGACAGCCGGGGTGGTCACTGAGCTGGTCCCTGGGGGCCCGGCATGAAGGGGCACTGCTCCAAGGCTTCCATCCGTGCGGAAATTTACCTCTCAGAAATCTGCAATAATCCCTTCACGAATACATTTTAACACTTTGCATCATCTGGGATATCTTTGGAAGTCACTCCTGGGATGCAAACTGCACTCGTCAGGATGATCCTCGCCACGGAGCTGCCAAAGCCTGGTGGCCGGGGAGGGAGGCACAGCTCCACACAGCCCGGGAGCTTCGGGGCTGAGCAGTCACAGGCTCCACAAACCGCAGGGGATTTTCCAAAGCAAACCACGCAGAGCGCACACCGCTCCCAGGGCACAGCTCGGCCCTACCCTGGCTCTGCGTTAAGGAGGTTATTTAGGGGGGAAGCGAGGCACCTAATGGGCTCCACAAACACCCAGTTCAGAGGCCCGGGAGCAGAAAGGACAGAGGTGACGCAGGGCAGGGGTGAGGGAAAGCAGCAGAAAACCAGACAGCTTGAGCAACGCCAGAGCAGGCTGCAAGAGCTGCGCGCTGCTGCCAGCCACCTCCTGACGGTCAGCTTGGGGAAGCAGCAGGCAAAGCCAGGATGAAGCGATGCAAACAGCCCCAAAAGGGCTCTGTGGGCACCCAGGAAGAGAAGGAGCTGGAAGCAGGGTCCGGCACTGTGCCATCCTCGGGCTGAGCGGCCCCATGATGCGGGGTCTCCACCAGGAGGGGACGAGCGCAGCCACGGCACAGCAGCAGGAGCCCACGCACCCGCTGGTGCTGTGCTCTGGGAAAGCAGCCCAGTGCTCCTGCTGCTTGTAGGATGGGGTGGCCGCATGGGGACCCCCCAGCAGCACTGTCCTGGGGGTGCACACAAGGGCTGGTGCCCACAAAGTGCCGGGGTCGTGCAAGGTGCGGGGCCACCCCGGCCACCGCACGGCTCGCGTGCGCGGCAGTGAGACCGAGCAGAGCACATCGCTGCGCTTCCCCACCCAGCTACCACGGCTGGCACTCTGCCCCGTGTTTATTTTCGTTCACATCCTGGTGTTGTTTTATAGCAGAACTCCCCCCAGGCCCCTCCTAACCTATAATCCCCTCGGTAAGTGGCTGCTGGCAGCGAGGCGGGCGCGGGGCTGAGCGCGCTGGGCTCCGAGGGGAGGGCGCGCAGGTGGGGGCAGAGGAGGGCTGGGAAGAAAACCAAACACAAGTGTCCAGCACACCCAGCACAGGGGAGGATACATCAAAACGGCAAAGGCGGGTGACAGCTCAAGTGCCTGGAGAATTCGGGGGAGCGGCAGGGAAATGGAAAACCACCGCCCCGTGGCACGCCCCGAGGCAGCCGCCCGACAGACCCCGTGGGGGCTAACGGCACCAGCAGGGTCAGCAAAGGCATTTGGGACCAGCGCTGCTGCGAGGACAGCAACACGGACAGAGAGTGGCCACCGTGTCATTCCTGCTGGCTGGCTGGCAGCCTGAAACTATGAAAGACATTTCGAGCTCGTGCCGGCAGCGGGGGGTTCGAGGGCTGCGCCTCCCCCTGCCTGCGGGACGCCCGTGCCCTGCTGCCCCCACACCCACAGCCACCCCTGCGCCCTCTCCACCGGCTTTCCCCACACGTCCCCGGCCGCTGCAGTGCCTGCTTTGGGCCTCTGAGCTCCTCCGTAATTACAATTCCCCCTCCGAGCCCTTTCTGCTTCTCCCCTCTCCTTAATACCTGGAAGGATGACCTACAGGAACAGCGCAGGTTACTCTGCCCTCATTGCCACAATAATTCATTGGCTGGAGCCTGGAATCACATTTCATTAGAATAAAA